CTTGTTTAAAATATTATTTGAAAAATAACTGACTCTTACACAACTAAAATTGAAAAAACGTGCGGAATTGAGCGACAACAAACGGCAGAGACAGACCGCCGGCGCCGGCCGCCGGAATAATTGTAATAAAAAATATCACACATTTGCCATCCAAAACACCGGCCGGCGTCAAGTCAACTCTTTAAACGTAAACATATCGATAACAACTAGACCTACGTCGAAGAGGGTCGAAATAAGAAATATTTCAGTATCGAGTTTCGAGTCCTCAGTTCGTGCATTTCCAGGGATTACGATTACTGCCAGCGCAAAAGTAACGAATTAGCTTAGTAACGAGTAACGAGTCCTAAATTCAAATGGTAAGCGTTACTTCGAGTCCTCGTAAAGTAACTGTTACTTTGTAACGATTACCTAGAATTTTTACATCACTACCGTAGACCCCACAGAAAATTTTATGGGACAAAAATGAAGAGAATTAAATTCTCTACATTTTCATTTCTAAGTTACAAACCTCTAAAACCTACGGGGACAAAGTTAGAGGGCGCCAAAGTTACTCAAACGTAGTGTTTTGCACTTTCCGTGTGAAACCATTTTTTTTACTGTCGCAAAGTTTTCAAAAGTAAAGAGCATAAAAGAACTATCAAACTGATGTGTAACTTTTTGCCGCCCAAAGTGTCAGATTGACTGTACTATAAAATATTTTTGGAATAATTTAGTTTGTACCGTATGAATTTGCTTACTTAAATTCCACTATAGTATGGTCAAATTGTATTTTTTGAGGAAATTTTTGGGGTAGTTCTGATTTACTTTGTTCTTTATATGTTTTTGTGGTGCTGATTCCGATGTTTACTACTTAAAATTTCGTGACGGAACAATGAAAAAAATTCAAAAAATTTTAAAAAAAAATTTCAATTTTTATGGTTTTTTGCTTATACATTTTTCCTCATTTTCTGTGAGAGAGTAGGTACTGTGAAATCAGTAAATAATGTAGCAGCAAATTGCTTTCTTTGCATACTTGATCTTTCTATGCTCTTGGTGCTTCCACAATCTTTTCTCAGGGTAGCCATCAAAAAGGATAAGAGAGAAAGGTAATAGAAACTATTAAATTAATTATTTAATCTACGACTATGTCTCATTATGACACATTTAACAGGCTTTCATAATAGCACTAGCGCTATTATGAATTCATAATAACACGCAAATTTTAAAATAAGAAACAAACAAAAAAAGGTACCTAAATACGTTTATTTATTGTAAACATTAATTATAATATCAGTACAATTGGTTAATTCCAGACGATGACAGGTGAGTTGAAATTTTAGAAAGTAAATTTATTTCCTGAGTGCTTGAACTTGTTGAAGACCCATCATTGCCAGAAATGTTACCCAAAATATTACATGACACTTTTTTCTTATTTTCTTTGGAATTTTCTATATAGCTCTCTGACACTGTGTTAGAGCGCCAACCACCATGTCTTTTAACAGTTAATAAATCCACTCCTGAATTTGCAAGCAACAACGCAGACGATCTACGGAAACAATGTCCAGTGTATTGTCGTGGATTTGGAAGACTTAGGAACGATGCTATTTTATAAGGCATTTTCCCTAAAGTATTAATGCCAATGGGTTGCTTAATACATTTTCCATTTCTGTACCCCACAAAAAAATTCCCAAAATCGAGTATGCTCTGTGTTGCTTGGCCGCATAACTATATATCTTCGAACCATTTCCACCATATTTGAATCGGTCATTTCAGAAACAACATGAGTCAAAAATTACAGTTTTGAGATATTCATGACTCATGTGGTTTCTGAAGGGTTCCGGTATTTTCATAGGCTGCAGTACATTAAGTTAAGCCAAGACTAGTGTTGTTTCTGCACGCAATGGTGCGTTTGCGTATAAAAAGAAGATTATTGTGGGAATATCAATTTCAGAAAAAAATGACTCATGTTGTTTCTGAAATGACCGATTCATTTATTCCTTCAACATTCCCTTTCGTTATAAAAAAATCTCGTGATATCTTTGTTTTTGTAAATGGAATAATGACATGAATGCATTGTCCTTCATCTTTAATATTTTGCAGCTGCAGATTTGTCAACTCGATACGCCGGCAGGCTCCCGCAAGTCCAACTATCAATGAAACTTTTGTCAGGAAATAAGTTTTATCATCGGCTTCCTACAAAAAACGAGTTATGTCTTCTTTTCTTAAAATTCTCGATTTTTTTGACCGAAACCTTTCCGATTTTCTTTTTAGAAATGCAATTAAGTGGACGTACTTACTAATATATGTATTTTTCTTCACTGATATAACTGAACGTAGCTTGGAATAATATACCCAAAGTGATGAAGTCTTCCTATGTTTTGAAAGATGTTCAAAATATGCCAGGAGAACCTTTTCGTTACTACTATTCTTGATTCCTTTCCCTTTACACCAATCTTCAAGTTTTACATATGCTTGCTCGTACGTTTGTCTTGATTTTTCGGGAAGTAGGTAATCGACAACGTTTTGCGCAATGCCTTCAATATCCGAAGGGACACTTTCAGAATCAGAATCACCCATATTAAAATTATTTTTTTCTTTTTGCTAAAACTGAACGTTTAACACAAAATTGAACATCAATAATTGAGTTGTCAATGTCAAAATGGGAACAATCAATAAGCACGGTTACCACGGCGTCGACTAATATGGGCACCTGATAATTTTGAATTTTAATTTTTATTCTCTGATATTTTAAATTAAATCAAATCTCTTTGGATCGTCCCTCGTGTCGCGTCGTAGATTAAATTTTGAATGATACACGTTCGATACGAACTTTTTAATGAAACTTGTGTAACTAACGTTGCACGCGTTTCATTATGATGTTCGTATCGAACTTCTATCATTAATAACTATATTAATGAATAATTAATTATATTAACCCATGGCAATTCAATGGAAAAAGTGTGGTTGGATTGTAATTATAGTTCTGTTTAAAAAAATCTGTACAGGGTGGGTCAAATTCGACGCTTTTAAATGGAAACACCCTTTTCTATAGGAGATAGACAAAAACTAATATCGGTGTCTGGAGCTCAATTTTTGTCAAAAACATGATGGTGAAAACCGCATATCGATATCTCTTACCGTTTCGGAGTTACGGGGTGTTTTTTAAAAATATGCATTTTTAACAAATTGCTGTAACTTTTTTGCTATGGAAAATTTTGTATTTTTATGAAAACATTTCCAAAGCACCTTTTTACGTAGAATTTAATGGTTTAAGTATATATTTTTTTAAATTAATAATTTAAGAATTATCAACAGAAAATTTGATTTTTTTATGGGACACCCTGTATATTTTTAATTTATTGAAAAGAATTTAAAATTACCTTTCCAAAAATATAACACACTTGATATTTTCCTCGATTCCTTTTCGAGATATTAGAGTATATAAAAATTCGCCCGCTTTAAATAAGTAGGCTTTGAACGGCACCGGCTGTAATGCAAAAAAATTCTGGCTGTGAGCATCAATTAAAACGAAAATGATATTTGCTATGAGAGATGCAGAATTTTATAACAATTTAAAATATATTTAACCAACATCAACAAATTTAAACTATATCTAATAACAATAAAAAGAAACAGCAAACCAAGACATGAGATTTTGCTACAGGTTTTCGACATATCGACCGTCTTCTGTTATGGACAGACCGGGCAGTTTTTGAACATTTCTCGCGGAATTCATTAACTCAGTGGGGGTGAAAGATACCCTCTCATAACTGCTAAGTATTTCTAATTCTTGTCTAGATTATACGGAAGAATAAGGAACCTTTATTCTTCCGCAAATATATCCATAGGATTAAATCCATAAGCACTAAGTCAGGCGGCCTCGACGGCCAACGGCTGGGATCTTGGTTTGCTATTCAATTATTCTTGAAATTGGCTGCAAAAATTTGCTGATAACTTCAGCGTTCAGAGGCGGTGCGTCGTCTTGCTGGAAAAATATGTTTTCGAGTTCCATTAAGGGCATATCATCAATAAGGGGTCCAAAGCCTACTAGTTAAAAGTGGCGAACTTTTAAAAATTCTGTATTTCGAAGGGGATTATAATAAAATATCAAGTGTGCTATATTTTTGGAAAGGTAATTTTAAATCCTTTTCAGTTAATTAAAAATATAGAGGGTGTCCCAAATAAAAAATCAATTTTTCTGTTGATAACTCTTAAATTATTAATTTTAAAAAAAATATACTTAAACCATTAAATTCTACGTAAAAAGGTGCTTTAGAAATGTTTTCATAGAAATACAAAATTTTCCATAGCAAAAAAGTTACAGCGATTTATTAAAAATGCACATTTTTGAAAAACACCCCGTAACTCCGAAACGGTAACAGATATTGATGTGCGGTTTTCACCATCATGTTTTTGATGAAAATTGAGCTCCAGACACCGATATTAGTTTTCGTCTATCTGCTATAGAAAAGGGTGTTTCCATTTAAAAGCGTCGAATTTGACCCACCCTGTACAGAGTTCTTAATTATTGCAAAAGGTTTTACTTTCTCACTTCATTTAAATTTTATAGTTTAAGAATTACAGCTCATTAATGCGCTTTATTCTTTTCTCTTTTAACAAGTGACAGTGAATCTTTTCATCTGGAACTATACCTGTACTTGTATTTGCACATATTTTAATTATAATATAAATTTGTTTTTTTTTATTATCGGTGGGTGTATATTGTTGAAATCACTATCTATATGACATTTAACTTAAAACTAAAAAAAACACATTAGACTTTAATAATAAATTAAGAGTATTGAAGTAAAAAATTAGGTATTTGCGGAGACAACCAAAAAACGCTAATTTTCAACTGGCTATTGAGCCGGAACAGTTTTTCAGAGAAAAAAGTTATAAACAAAAAACCGTAAAAATCAAGTTTTTCCCCCTTTATTGCATTTTCTCCATGTTCTGTCACAAAACTTTGTTAATAAACATCAGATTCGGATATAGTCATTAGCATGCGTACCGAGTAGGTTATGTGCTAGCGGCAGTCGTATTAATTTACAATTATAGTACCTGTAATTATTATTAAAAATAGAAAAAGTGTCATATTCGTGATCAAGAGTAGTGCAATGATGACCAGAGGTGGAGGCAAAAGTGAGGACTCCTCTAAAAAGCAGGTGGGAGAGTTTCAAATATTGAACCAGCGCATGGAAGAAATGGCTGCCAAGTTTAAGACTGACCTTAATGACTTCCGGAACGTTTTACAAGAAAAATCCATGGCAAGGACAAGTGCCAGCGAAGACAATGTCTTAAATGGCGATTTACTGAAGTTATCCGAAAAATTCTCATTATTCGAAAAAACTGTAATGACGTCATTGGACTCTTTAAGGCAGGATATGAATCAAATAAAGATAGAGGTCGCTACAAACAACAATAATATTCTGGTGCACGGTGTGAACGAGGACTCACCTGACATCTATCAGGCCATATGCGATCTAATGCATTCCAAAATCAATATAAATGTGCAAAAAAACGATATAAATTATTGTTATCGTTTGGGTACCACTAATACGAGAGACAAAAAACCAAGACCTATTTTAGTTTCATTTTGTTGTCGATGGCTTCGAGATCAAATATTTTATAGCAAAAAACTGCTCAAAGGTTCAAATGTCTTGTTTACTGAATTGCTTACGGCCGAGAATTTAAAACTATTTAAAGTTGCCCGTGGGCACTTTCGAAATCACTGCTGGACAAGATCGGGGAAGGTGATTGTTCTGTGTGAAGGTGTGCAGGTGGTTGTCTTTTCTCAGGAAAAACTCAGTGAGCTGATTGGAAAAGCCTAGTTCAGTGTGATACCTCGTTGACTAATTTCTCAAGGTACTGTCTTTGATTTTCTTTCAATTAACTAATTTATATATCAATTCACTATACCAAATTCAATATCTAAAAAAATGTGTGGATATTATAGATATTTGAATATCTAAAAAAAAACATTTATATTTAATTTTTTCTTTAAGGAGTTGTTCTTCTAGTTATCATAATAAGCGTATTGTATAATTCGTTGTTTTGAATGCTTCTATTTTTTAAAGAAACTGCATAATATTACTTTGTTTTTCATATTTTAATGTATTGGCTTTCTAGCAATTGTTATACGTATTAGATATGGTTGGGAATTATTGCTTATACTTTTGTTTTCTATTGAAAATACCTATTTTTTGAGGGAAAGTGTATATTAATTTCGTTTTGATATAAGCATTTCAAGTCTGCCTATTCTAGTATGCGGGTGAATATATCTATGAATTATTGAACTTTAATTTTTTATTCTCTATTGATGCTTCAATTACTAAGCTAATGAACACGAAATTTTGTATGTAAGTTTTATTTGATTATAGTAGGCGGCGAGATATAGCTGTGACTTATTGTATTTTTTCTATAAAATCTTCTTTCATCTTATATAAGTTGGGTAATGAATAATATAAATTGTACTTTACGGCTAAACATTCCTGATACTGCTTTTGATGGGCATGTATGTTTGCTATAATCTGAGAGGGTGTGATCGATGGGAGCTAGGCACTGGCGTGGGTACTGGGTTGCGACATCTCAATGATATTAGGTGATAATATTGCGCAGGTAGGCCATAATTCCAAAATTGTCAAAACTAAGAGCCTTGTCACTGCTCATCTAAATGTTCGATCACTCAATACAGGGTTTGACGAGTTCGCTAATTATATTTATGATTGCAACTTTGACATACTAGGACTGTCAGAAACCTGGTTAACATCTGACTGGGATTCAAGTTCTTTTAATCTTGAGGGATATAATCTAATACGCAAGGATCGTGGGGCCAGGGGTGGCGGCGTGGGAGCCTATGTAAGGAAACATATTAGTAGTCAAATTGTGGATCTTGGAATAACCTCTGAGAGTTGTGAATATGTTGGCGTACGTATCAACCTAAATAAGAAAACTTTGCTATTTGTGAGTTTATATCGACCTCCTTCGTCGAATTTAGAGCATTTTTTTGACACTCTAGAAAACATGTTATCTGCTACTGTTCCGTATTATAACCACATTATTCTAACTGGAGATTTTAATATCGATTTATTAAAAAACTCAAGAACTAAATTAAAAATGATTGAACTGCTTAATACCTTTAATCTAACTCAGCATATTACGGAACCTACGCGGATAGATATGAACACGAACGCATCTACACTAATTGACTGTATAATTACCGACAATAATCTTTACTGCCAAAGTAGTCACTCTTTTAATATTTCTGAGACTATATCAGATCACTGTTTAATATTTGGAAATTTTAATATACCCATTACCGAATATAAAGAAAAATATATGCAATACAGGAACTATGACAATATTGATTATGAAAAGTTTCAACAAGACGGTCAAGAATTACCATGGGGTACCATCTATTATACAAATAATATTAACACAAAATTAGAATTATTTAATAATAATATTTCAAATCTTATTAATAAACACGCACCCTTAAAACAAAAAAAAACTAAAATTAAGCCTTTTACACCTTGGATTACAGGCACTATTAAGTGTTTGATTAAATTGAGGGATAATGCTCATAAGAAATATTTAAAAAATAAGACGGATGCTCGGCTTAAATATTATCGTGATCTAAGAAATTACACTAAACATGCTATTAACCGTGAAAAAATTTCTTATTTTAAGTCTCTATCTAGTGAAAAGGGTAGTGACTTCTGGAAAGCAGCAAAAAAATTAAATCTCACTCATAGAATAACCTCTGAAGTTCCACCTGAAATTGCGGATCCTATAAAATTTAATAATTTTTTTGCTAGTTGCAATAGAATAATCGACACAACCTCGATAGAAAAAATTTTTTTTTACAATAATAATAGGCACAAAAATATTACTTCAGAACTGAACTTTAAATTAATTAATGAGACATCATTACATAAAATTATACAGTCAATTAAAACAAATGCGGTTGGTGAAGACAATTTGTCAATAAGAGATCTACAACTATGCATGCCGTTTTGTGGGAAACCACTAATGAATATAATAAATACCTGTATTCTTGAGAATGTTTTTCCGGATTTGTGGAAAAAATCTGTCATAATACCTATTCCAAAAAAAACGAATCCTACAAATCAGGAAGACTTTAGACCTATTAGTATTTTGCCGGTTGTTTCAAAAATAGTAGAGAGACATATCTGTAATCAAGTTATTACTTACACCGATTTAATGAAAATTATTCCTGATTGTCAATCAGGTTTTCGTAAAAATTTCAGTACAACTACATGTCTTGTTAAGCTTATTAATGATATAAGACTTTCCCAGGAAATGAAAGAAACAACGTGTTTAAGTCTGCTTGATTTTAGCAAAGCATTTGACACGTTAAATCATAACTTATTACTAGCAAAGTTGCATTATTTTGGACTATCTGAACAATCCGTTAACTTTTTACGTGCTTACCTTACTCAAAGATCGCATTGTGTTGGCATAAAAAAAGACTTTAGTCTGCTAAAATCTCCTTATACTCCTATGACCGCTGGTGTTCCTCAGGGATCAATATTGGGCCCGCTATTATTCTCTTTATATGTAGCAGACATGAATGACGAATTATCGCATTCTAAGTTACAACAATACGCTGATGATTCACAATTGTATCTATCTTTCACCAACGAGAATTATATCATATCCAATTTACAATATAATATTGATATAAATAGGATTGATAAATTTGCTACAGATCATAATCTGAAATTAAATACTTCGAAATCTTGTGTACTTTTTTTTGAATCCAGCAAGGCTCGAGTGACGGGTATTACAAAAAATTTCAAAGTTGAGATCAATAATGTTTTGCTACCTGTAGTTGCTGAGGCCAAAAATCTGGGAATACATGTCGATTCAAAACTTACTTTCAATTCACACATTAAAAATAAACTTACTAATGCATATTGTCGCTTAAAAAAACTAAATATTTATAAAAAATTTCTACCACCTTTTGTTAAATATTACTTATGCAATACACTTATTTTATCATTGTTTGATTATGGTGATATAGTCTATGATGCCTCGTTATCTGCAGGGCTAGCGAAATCTATACAAAAAATTCAAAATTCATGTATGCGATTCTCGTTTAATATACCCTATAGACATCACATTACACCATACCTAAATAGTAATTCTATATTATCAATGTGCAATAGACGTAAATGTCATATGTTATCATTTATTTATAAAGTTTTAAAAACCGGAAAACCACCCTATTTAAATTCACTTTTCAATTCTCATGAACATTCTTATTTTACCAGAAATGTAAATAATTTCAAAGTCCCCCAGCACAGAACTGCGGCATTTCAGAGATCTTTCAGCTTTGTAGCGATTCAATTGTGGCATCAGATTCCTAAATGCGTTCAAGAGCTTTCATATGAAAAATTTGTAAATAGTGTCAAGTCTATATATTTAGAACAACAAAAACAAAACCGTTAGAAATTTAAACGAGTGACTAACCTGCCTGCCTGCTTTCGTCGCCTTTTAGTTTTTAATTTTAATAATAACCTGATGATTTCAACTTAATTTAACTTTTCCCTGGTGCCCTAGCCTTCCTCCTGGTCATTCCCGTTGATTGCATTCTCTTTTTTTGTATTTGAGTATATTTTATGTATTTTATTTTGAATTCTTTGTATTAATCTTTGTATCATTTATGCATGTATATTTGTTTTAAATATTTACAGGGCTGTGCGACACAAAAACATTTACTGTTTTTGTTTTTGTGTATCGGTTTTTTTTATAATCGCGACACAGTCCCATTTACTTAATTTTTTCTCTTTGTTTATTGTGTATATTAATGTTTAAAAAAAAAGTAAATAAACTATTTTGATTTGATTTGATTTGATTCGAATTCAGCACCCCAAAAAACAATATGTACTCAGAAGAAATCAGAACTACCGCAAAACTTTCCTCCAAAAGGATATTTTAGTATCTACAAGGTGACTACACTACTAGGTCAATAGATAATATTATTTATTCCAATATGGTTATTGTTTCCAGTAATTATTATGTAGAAAAAAATCGTGGGTATTGGGAAGGTCTGAAATGAAACAATTATAAAACAGCCTCTACACTATGCGGAAAACTCTTCGAAACAAGTCAAGATCGCATTTCGTCGCTCAACTTTGTCGCATTTCATTTTATTTCCAGTTGTCTCGACCTTCTTTCGATTCTTAAAAGCGCCTGAAAACTACTCGCGAAGAGGGCGCGGGGGGATTTTTTGGCGTTTCCTGTTGCCTCGTTCAATTTTGTTTCATTTTCAGCTATTTCCAAGACGTTGCGGTATCTGTACCCGAGGCAATGGACTTTTTTCATAAATCTCAGTAAAATAAGTAAACCTAGACGTTTCTAAAATAGCTGTTGTTACTAGGGCCGGGCGACCGCCCGGGGCGCCGGATGCAAGGGGCGCCACGACAGCAACTAAAACATTTAAAAACAGTAATCTAAACAAATAGTAACGAATCACAAGATCAATAATTAATCGATACTATCAATTTTCAAATTAAAATATCAGCAGTTACCACACAACATAGGGAAAATATCTGACTAAACATTATAAACACTATATCCTAGACCTTTCCTATTATAGTCTACTGAAACTATGCTCAAAAAATCTTTAGCGCGAAAGTTTTGGGAGAATTTTGATTTCTTCTATTTTAGATGTTTTTTGGGTCCTCTAATTCTTAAACAAAATAAAATAAAAAATACTTTTACTTATAGGTAACTCAAAAGCCTATCAACTTTTTGTAAATAACCCTTCTTGCTATAATTTTTTTCTAAACAAATTGGTTTGGGTCAAGAGCCAGCAAAATTGACAGTTTTAGACTGAC